ACTGTTGATACTCCCATCAATCGGGAGTGCACGTTCTCATGGGGATGTGTATATCAAAATGTAGACATTCAGACTAACCAAGCAAGTGGTAATCTTTCTAACTACTTGTAGCTTGGGTGGGTTCATTGGCTGTTGATGAGGTGGCCGCAAATGAGTGGTGCCGAACAGATCTACCACCGGAGAGATAGCTGATAAACAAATTTACCCACTGTAAGTTCCAGTCAACTTTTCTGATCCAGGCTACTCTGTCGTCGTAGTAGTAGTACCATCTCAATAGAATTTTTCGGAAGAAGATGCCGTTTACCTCGAAACTGTATTCATCTACTTTGTACCGACTGATTCTTCAGTGTAATAGTACTAAATAGATTGAGATAGTGTCCATCAGTTGTCTCTCCAAGGTTTTCTACTTTGTTATTCTCTTCAATGAACAGTCGTTACCGGAACATGCGTTTTGGTTCGTTACTTCGAAGTGCTAGTTTGCTAGCCCAACGGGGTCGCGGAAGGCATTTAGTGAACTGGTCAAGCAAATATAAGCTGAGGGGAATTACTGTGGCTTTGTTTAAGCTTTGCGTCTTTCCTATCAGTAGTCACTCAATGTGAAGTGCTTCCTAGAGGAAACGGTTTTAGTAAATTCCCAACTCTGCACACACTTGGCAAGAGAAAACTTTCCAGAATCCAATGATAAACGTTTTATGGAGAGCATTTATCTTCAATACGAAATCTCCTCAGGCGACTACCTAGGTCACTCACGTCACTCGGTCCAGATTGATGAGGCAATCATCACATTTCAACCGCAAGTGCCTGTGCAAAACCACTGAAAAGTAGTAGAATAAAACATCATAAACATGAGATTCAGCCGAGTTCTAGGTGGGTCCCCCGGAAAACCAAATTGGTTTGTAAATGCGTGTATTTCGCTAAAACTGACTAACTTCACCAAGTGAAAGAATAAGTTACCGGTACGTATCGACCTGGGAAACAATTAAACGAGCAAGATCACTACGGTTGTTTGCTACATGTGACGCATATGATTCCATCTCTCTTCATTTTGACAAGTGGAAATCTCAGTGCACCGACTGGTTTTACGTGTGAGCTGGAATGACATCCTTCGGTTACTGAAAGAAATGGAAAAGCGGTCGCGACATTTCGCTCTCGTGATTTGTGTATGGATTGCTGGGAGCCATTTTGCACGTTGAGGTACCGCTTGATTGCCTGCATAGCCTGCGTGTCAAGTTCGCTTCAGTTGTTGAAAAGTGAAGCCCTCACTCGGGGCTTGTAACATCCAATTGGCTATGTAGTAGTCAAACCACCGGCTTGTTGTTTGTACATGGGCCGAATGCGAACTTGCTAGTTTACTTCACTTGATAACAGTTTGGTTGTTTTCTTTGCTTTGGCCTAATGAAAAACCCACTGAAGTTAATAGGTGTGAACATGCAGTGTGATCGATCGCATCAAAGGAACCCATCGTTTGTTACCTTACTCAAATATCAGTGACGTGCGAAAACTAGCTATGGATGCAGCTCGACAACTATTCAACAGATCGATGTATTTTCTCCTCATAACCAAGTTCTCACCTACTGTCTGGTATTGCGGAGGAGCAAACTTTTCGTAAGTGTGTGAAGTTGATAGTTATGATGATCCATAATGTACTGTTGAAGATATTTTATTGTCTGACTGGCAGCTGAGGAATAGCTTGCCAAAGTTAGCCCGGTTGTGATCTGATGAAGTCCTTTCTAGTGGAAGTATCACTTAGGGAGGAAAGTCCGACAGGCCACTGTCTGTTTTGGTTTTGTTTGGATTTTTTTGCAGATAGATCGTAGGTGATAGCGATAAATTTGAGTTTTCAACGACTCTTAGCCCGGTGCAATTGTGCCGGGTTTTTCCTAAACAAGAGGGAGAACAATAGACTAAACTTTCGCTCCTACTACAATCTATCGGTAGTACAGGTCCTCGGCCACGCCGGGATTTGCACACCAGGCATCTGAAATGCAGCGTGAGCTTTTCACCGCTACTTCACTACCATGCAATGGAAGCACACGAGTCGTCTGAACACATCTGAACAGGCGTCAGTGATGTGAATACTACGTCTCACCTGAACGCAAAGCTCTACTCGGTTGCAAGCTAATTTAGTTTGGTGAACCCAGGGGGTGAGACAAACTGGAAAGTTTGAAACCTCTGAGTGATACAATAATAAATATATATATATATACCATGATTGAAGAAGAACGCTGTTATAGGCTGCTTGGTGGAACAACCTCTATTCGGAATGTTTCCCTTGGGGATATTTGTAAGTTGATTAACCATCAGATTTATTCTTTAGGCGAGCCTACATTTGCGCCCCCTCCAGACTGCCCTCAGGATTTGCTGTTCTCCTTGAAGCAGGATTAAGTTTGTATTGAAAAGCTATAAAACACCACACACCTGTTTTATCACCGTAATGGAGCATCAACTCATCAACCCCGCGAAGATTCCAACAGGCAAGCCTTCAGTTAGTGCGATAATACCGTATAGTCTCATCAGTAGTGCCTCATCATCATAGGACTTCGGGGAACTCAGTCAGCTTGGATACTTAGGCAGGCCGTTTTCGGAACATGGCTTCCTGTGAATATTGCTCATTGATGTTTGGCAAACTCCCATTTACAGAACGAGCCGAATAGGACAATATCGTTAGGCGACATCAAATCAGATAGAACAAGAAGTGGTTTTGAAGCTTACAACGTTAAGTATCATAGACTGCGTGAGTAACCGAGTGAACCTATGGAGTGGAGAATGGACAACAGGCTTCACACGCGTATCGGTTGCAAGGGAAGCATGTTACACTACATTGCAGCGTGACTTGGTCGCATATCTTTGTCTAGTATAAAACGAAGGAAAGATCTCATCCCTTACATCGGATGAGTCATAAAAGTGAACTCCCAGACATCACCGCCGCTGACGCTGCTTTCGATTATTCTTTGAAACATATACGCTGTCTGCTGTGATGTATGAAACATTCTTCCCAACGGTAATGCGCCATTTTCTTGTCGCAGATCGGAAGCCGTACTTCAGAGGTAGAACATCCAAACTAAAAAGAAACACAGGTATGTGAGTTATAAAGATATTAAATAACTGGGTTACTTTTTGACACATTTCCAACTGACAGTACGATTTTGTATGATTGTTAAGAAATCGTACGTTTGGTGCCTGGGCGGAAATTGCTATCCTGGACACCTCCACAACAAAACAGATTGATATCTCAAGCGTCTACAATTCCAAGCTTACTCTAGCCAAATTTTCCTCCGGAAAGCTGATGACAGGCAGTTTATCAGTAAATGTCAATCCTACACTAAATGGTGCACCTTTTCTTAAACGTTCTTTAATCTGTTTTGCAGTGGTGGCTTATTTAAGCCCAACGAGTCTTGGTATCCCCTTGTTTTCTGTGCCTGAAACCAAACGACCACAATGCGTTACTGTCAACAATCTACCGTAGCGCTATACCCAGTCGATTACCCGATCAAACGCAGAAATGGTGATATCTGGTCCAAGTAGCCTGACAAAAATTGTACCATATACCGAAGAGAGCCAATCAAATAATCCCACAGTCTCACGATACCAACTTATTGCTGACTGCTGGAAAGTCCGATATAAGGGACGCAAGTCGCACTTGCCTTATTTCATTGAGGATGTGAGAGGTCACTCTGCGGTCACGCAGTTGTGTCATGCTGAAACTGTTGGGTGAAATCAGCGTCCTCTTTTGGGTGGTGCTCGATCGGTCCGACGACTGACTGACCACATCATAGTGCTGAGCTCGCAATTTTCTCGCGTTTAGACTCGTTCAAGTCACTCATTTGTTCTACAGATACACTCACGAGAGATTCAACAACTCTCTGTTGATTCTCTAGCTTTGTTACTCTTTGACTGAATGCAGTTCACAATGGCCATCTCCTTTTCGGTTAACACGAAGTTTGAAATATTTCCCTGATAGATTGGAACTGATACCCGAGTCTGGTGGGAACACCGAATCAGCAATGCGGAAGTACGTCGAATGGTATTCGGAAGAAATAACTCACCCTCGACAGATGAACTGATCACACTTTATCGCTTGCGCTGGCTTGGCCACGTGCTGCGTATGCCAGTCGACTGACTTCCTCAAAGGGTTCTTTTTGCACAACCGCTTGAAGGGTAGAAGAGAGCCAGAGGCGGTCAAACAATAACTTGGCAGTGAAGTATTGAAGCCATTACCAGCAAGCTCAGCTGCGTTGGACAGTGCCGTCTTTCTGGATGGGAATTCCGAGACGGGCCACATCAGCGGACGCCCCAGTCGTGCCCTCAATGGTGCTCGTGCATCCAAGATATTGCCTTCAATTCATAGCTCCCCTCCCAACCCCCCGACTGTGCTGTATTTACACACAAATTTATCAGCTCCCGCCCCCAACGGGCAGCTACATAGTCCACCTCCCCAAATCATCGGTGGACGAAACTGTGGCAGCTGCAACCACTGTACGACAAGTACGCTGACAGTACAGCTGACAGTGATGATGATGGTGATTATGATGTTGATGACGATGATGATGATGATGATGATGATGATGATGATGATGATGATGATATCAACTGTATCGACTGTATCGACTGGCTGACCGATCTCGAATGGCCTTTTGCATCTGCTTCCATCGACTCTCCTGTTTACCGGGTTGTGGCTATTCCTCAAAAGGTTTGAATAAGCGTAACCCTAGTTAATACCTCTGTGTTCATCTCGGACAACGTGGCTAAATGAGAGTTCAAAACTGGAAAGTATGAACAGAGAAACTTTTACTCAGTCCTGAACGGCTTGAGAAACCCCGTAGAAGATAGCCCACTCCTTATTGATTCTTTTTCTGTCACAAAGTCATGATTCATCACTTAATAATACATGAAAGTTCCAAAGTCATCAAGTCCTCGGTTTTCTGCGTCTTCCAAGTAAGAATCCACTTTGTTATGTTTTCTGTAATCGAATTCATACAAACGTAATTTTATGCCCATATTCAGTGCGGCCTCATTATTCGTATCCTCGTCTTTGGATCCCATGTCATCATTGCGAGAGCGTTTTTCCTGTTTGACATAGCTACGCGAATAACAGGGCCTATTTCAGCTTCATAATGAATCCATCGACTTGGTTGGGCGACATCCCAATAGTAGACACCCCAGTCTTTGCATCCACTGATTAAGAGTCGTCCCGAAGGGGATACGGCGATGTCTGACACACCAGCACTCTCAAAACCGGGTGGATCTTCACTGTGTGCAATGGATATAGTGTCGGGTTCAGTAAGTGATGCATGACTTACAGGATAGTGGGGGTCAGAATAGGTAGCCAAGATCACATCAGTTCTTGTGTCATACAAATGAATCTCCGTGTCTTCGGATCCAGATACAAAGTTATACCCATTTGGCAAAGGTCGGATACAATTGACTGTGGATGTATGTGATTCAAACACTGAAACCAATGATCCGGGTTGACGAATATCCCACTGTCTAATCTGCCCATCACTTGCACCCGTGAGAAAGATATTCGCTTCTTCGGATCCGCTTAGTAAACTTAAACACTCGATGGCACACAGATTGTGTGCGTACCTTCCTGTTACTTTTACCGATTCAATATCCCATAAAAGTGCCCCGTCATTAGCAGCACCAGTTAGTAACTTGCTTCCAGCTAGTAGCCGAATGGAATTTACTTGGCTTGAATGTTCGTAGACAAACTGGTTCTCGTAGATTGAATAACCTTCATCTGCTGACTGATGTATACTTTGGAACAGGACGACATTGGCACAAAGACCACCACAGAATACCTGTCGAGCGTCACCCGAAGAGGCTGCTGTGACAGGCTGAATGGAGGTGCCGTCCAGTACATTGTGGATCAAACCAGCCGTTGTGTCCCAAACGACGATTAGTCCCTCAGCACCGACAGTGAGCAAATACTGATCCGTATCACTCCATACTACATCGTGAACCTTGGTGGAATGTGCGCGAAGGGTAAAAACGGGTGTAAGTGTTGGGAGGTCTGAATAAACTGGCAGACTGGAATCGCTCACGAGGCCTTTGAGATTTGATTCACGAGCAGCTCGACGACTTAACTCTAGTTTCATCTTCAACTGCATTATTTCGGATAACAGCTTCAGCTCCGTATCATTGGGCTTCATTTTATTTGGCTAGACAAAATAGATGAATTCGTCACCTGCCACCACATTTGATTCATCTGATCGATAATTTATCCGTGCCTGATAATCACGTGGAGACGGAAGGCGTTGTAAAGTCGAAGTTACTGGATGCTCGCCAAGCTTAGTTCAGGACAGAAAAAGGTGTTCGATAGGTGTGTGGAAAGAGATCATCCTATTATTGTTCGCTACCGATAAATCTATCGAGTAGCACAGACCTGTGTGAAATTTCAAGGGGATGGCTTTGAGACAACTGACGGGTTCAGCAAAGTAACACAGCATAGGTGTGAGAGATCATCCTATTATTGTTCGCTACCGATAAATCTATCGAGTAGCACAGACCTGTGTGAAATTTCAAGGGGATGGCTTGGCTTTGACTGACGGGTTCAGCAAAGTAACACAAAGTCGGCACCGTTCTCAAGTATATATATATATATATATATATATATATATATATATATATA